CAGTGAGCAGAGATGGCACCACTGCACTCCAGCATGGGCGACAGAGCAGGACTCCATCTCAAACAAACAAACAAACAAACAAGAAACAGGGGGTCTTGCTGTGTTGCCCAGGCTGGTCTCAAACTCCTGGCCTCAAGCAATCCCTCCAGCCCACCACACACACACACACACACACACAATTGTGTAATAAGAGTGGAGGAAACTTTGGGAGGTAATGAATGTTTATGCCTTAACGATGATGATGGTTTCATGAGTGTATACTTATCCCCAAACTCATCAAGATGTATACATTAAATATGTAATTATGTACAGCTTTTTATATATCAATTATACTTCAATAAAGTGATTTAAGGAGGGGGGCTAGTTTTATCAAATCTTATCACAGGGTCTATTTTTCATAAATTAGAGTCTCAACACATTTTCCAGATAAATAACGTTTCTCCCAGATGAAAACAAGAATCAGTTAAAGAGGATTGAGATTTTAAAGCACCAGGCTCCAAGAAAGTCCTTATCCAAACTAAGCCAACAGTATCCAGTTCTTATAAGAAATGGATAATATTTCTAGAAGTCTGAGAAATAACTGTTTGTCTCCCTTATTCTGTTATTTAGGGATATATGGTTACTAGTAACAGTGAAGTTGTTCAACTTTAGTTGAAAATAACGAACTCAGAGGTAAATCAAGTGCTAGTCAAAGACAGCACAGCACCAGACCTACTCAGTCCCAAATACTAAAAAGAAAAAAATACATTTTAATATCCAGTCATGACAGCAGTTATTACCTCCTTGTCCACACCCCAAGTGCCACAGAAAAGTTATACCCACATCCATTAACCTCCCAATGGACCAGTCAGACACCTAACTTTGGAGGAATCAATCCACAGGCTCATAAGCTAAGAAGGCTATGCCATCAGTTTACCCTGACCAAAAGATACAAAATCTCTATCTCTATGATGCTAGCCACTGACACTGAAAGATCAAGTAGCAAGCAGCACCTTAACTGGGGTGGCCATTTACAGCCCTGTGTACTCTACACTATTAGGCCAAGAAAGCAAGTCTATGAATTGAAGAATAATGGATCACGGACACAGAAACATATAGTGAAGAAAGGCTAAGCAGCTTCCTGAGAAGTGGAAGGAGCAGCCTTAGTTCCTGGCTTTCTAATTTTAGCCTTGAGAGAGCAGAAACTTTATTTTCTGTACTCACATGCCTACACAATTGCCTATTAAATATTCTCCATCTATCCCCTTTCATTTCTATTACTTAAACTACTTGATATCTAAAACTAGGATACTTTACTCTAAAAACCCAACTAGCTCTTTCTAGCCAGCACCAAGCAATGGACATCTCTCAGGAGAACTGACACAAGCACCGCAAGACCGGGGCAAGAGAAAGCCCTACCACAAGAAGCGTAAGTATGAGGTGGGGTGCCCAGCTGCCAACACCAAGATTGGCCCCCGCCACATCCACACAGTCCATGTTCGAGGAGGTAACTAGAAATACTGTGCCCTGAGGCTGGACATGGGGAATTTCTCCTGGGGCTCAGAGTGTTGTACTCGCAAAACAAGGATCATCGATGTTGTCTACAATGTGTCTAATAATGAGCTGGTCCGTATCAAGACCCTGGTGAAGAATTGCATCATGCTTCAAGCCTGTAATCCCAGCCCTTTGGGAGGCCGAGACGGGCGGATCACGAGGTCAGGAGATCGAGACCATCCTGGCTAATATGGTGAAACCCCGTCTCTACTAAAAAATACAAAAAACTAGCAGGGCGAGGTGGCGGGCGCCTGTAGTCCCAGCTACTCGGGAGGCTGAGGCAGGAGAATGGCGTAAACCTGGGAGGCGGAGCTTGCAGTGAGCTGAGATCCGGCCACTGCACTCCAGCCTGGGCGACAAAGCGAGACTCCGTCTCAAAAAAAAAAAAAAAAGAAAAAAAGAATTGCATCATGCTCATCAACAGCACACCATACTCATCGACAGCACACTGTATGGACAGTTGTACGAGTCCCACTATGCACTGCCCCTGGACCACGAGAAAGGAGCCAAGCTGACTCCTGAGGAAGAGATTTTAAACAAAAAATGATCTAAAAAATTTCAGAAGAAATCGATAAAAGGAAAAAGAATGCCAAAATCAGCAGTCTCTTGGAGGAGCAGTTCCAGCAGGGCAAGCTTCTTGCGTGCATCGCTTCAAGGCTGGGACAGTGTGGCCAAGCAGATGGCTATGTGCTAGAAGGCAAGGAGTTGGAGTTCTATCAGGAAAATCAAGGCCCGGAAAGGCAAATAAATCCTCATTTTTGTCTTCACCCATGTAATAAAGGTGTTTATTGTTTTGTTCCCCCCTAAAAAACAAACAAAAAACAACTAAAGCCAGTGAAATTCAACCAGGAACTCAGCAATAAAAGCCCTGTTAAGGGAGAAGCAGCCTAAGGTAGAAAGAAAATTTTTCTCCTAAATTTTACTCAGGTAGAAAGTTTCATTTAAACAACAACACTTTGGGCCAGGCGCAGTGGCTCACGCCTGTAATCCCAGCACTTTGGGAGGTTGAGGCAGGCAGATCACGAGGTCAGAAGATCGAGATCATCCTGGCTAACACAGTGAAACCCCGTCTGTACTAAAAAATACAAAAAAATGAGCCAGGCATGGTGGTGGGTGCCTGTAGTCCCAGCTACTTGGGAGGCTGAGGCAGGAGAATGGCATGAACCCAGGAGGCAGAGCTTGCAGTGAGCTGAGATCATGCCACTGCACTCCAGCCTGAGCAACAGAGCAAGACTCTGTTTCAAAAAAAAAAATTAAATTAAATAAAAAAATAACACTTTGGTAAGGCTTTTTTTTTTTTTGAGACCGAGTTTCGCTCTTGTTGCCCAAGCTGGAGTGCAATGACACCATCTCAGTTCACCATAACCTCTGCCTCCCAGGTTCAAGCGATTCTCCTGCTTCAACCTCCCAAGTAGCTGGGATTACAGACATGCGCCACCAGTCCCGGCTAATTTTATATTTTTAGTAGAGACGGGGTTTCTCCATGTTGGTCAGGCTGGTCTTGAACTCCTGACCTCAGGTGATCCGCCCACTTCGGCCTCCCAAAGTGCTGGGATTACAGGTGTGAGCCACTGCACCTGGCCTGGTTAGGAATTTAAGGAGATGGGGAAATACCAGTCTTTACTGAACAGACACCTTCAAAATTATAATCTTCTCTCTGGAATGTTCAGTTGAAACACAAAACATGGGGTCCAACTATTTTCAGTCTGATCAAAACAGATGTTCCAAAGATTCAAAACAGAAAGTCTATCTTTTGAAATAAGGGCAAATTTTTCATTTTTGCTATTTTCTCTCCTCAAGCTTTTCCTCTGCCCTTGCTCTGTCCTCTCTTTTCTCCCTTGAAAAGGTGATCTAGAGGCAATTCAGATCTGCCTTTTTCCCCCTTTTTCTTTTCTTAAGCTCAGTGAAAAGAATCTTTTGTTTGTTTGTTTGTTTGAGACAGGCTCTCATGTGATTCAGGCTGGAGTGCAGTGGCATGATCATGGCTCACTGCAGCCTTGACCTCCGGGCTCAGCACTTCTCCCACCTCTCAGCCTCCCAAGTAGCTGAGACTACAGGCAGATACCAGCATACCCAGCTAATTTTTAAATTTTTTTGTAGAGACAGTGTCTCACTATGTTGCCCAGGCTGGTCTTGAACTCCTGGCCCTAAGTGATCCTCTCGCCTTAACCTCCTAATCTCCTGTTAGGATTACAGGGGTGAGCCACTGTGCCCTGCCCAGATCTGCCTTTCTACTATCATTTGAATACTTTTAAGAAGACCTGTAATAATCCATAAATAATAGGAAATAGCTTACCTGAAAGATAAGATGCCTGACCTCTTTAAAGAATGCTAATTCCAGAGTTTGAATAACTTCAAAAGGATTTTTTAAAACTCAGGCAGGTTATCTATGTAAGTATATGCACACTGACAAATCAAAATTTAAAGGCTGTTGTATAAAATATATAAGCAAGTAAAATCATAGTCATTGCTACACCACTCTGACTCAGCTGAGGGATCCTATCAACCAACCACTCGCAGCTCAGAAGAGCACACCAACACATCCCCAGGCAGTCTAGTAAATCATTCTTACAATGATGTGATATACGTATGTATTTTTTTGTTTGAGTCAGGGTCTCACTCTGTCACCCAGGCTGGATTGCAGTGACATGATCACAGCTCACTGCAACTTCAAACTTCTGGGATCAAGCAATCCTCCCACCTTAACCCCCCGAGTAGCTGGGATTGCAGACACATGCCACCGTGCCTGGCTGATACAATTTTTAACATGGCAAACTGGCTTTAAAACCTCTTTTAAAGTAATTGTGTTATTTGACTACTTCTGGTTTTTAATTCTTATCTTCTACTGTATGAAAAAAGGGTATAACTTTAACTTCTTAGGTACCTCCTTCCATTCCCCTCCAAAGGCAGATAATAGTTTATTATTGTATTCCATTTTGGAAGGTTGTATCATAGGAAAAAAAAGACAGAGAAACTATTAATTTCAAATTCAAAATTATAAATCAGTATTGATACCTCTGTAATATAGTGATTGATTTGTAGTAAATTACTTCCTTTGATGGGACACAGGGAACTAAACTAAAACATTATAAAGCATTAACCAAAGGGTTAGAATTTTTCACACACACATATGGAGAAGAGCTATGACTAAGGAACAGGAAAGGGAAAGGTAACTATACCTTCGATGCTGCTGAAGAAACAGAACAGGCAGACTCCTCATCTATCACTAGTAGTTTCAAGTACAATAACCAGAGACACTCTAAAGTTAAAGTACCCATTTGAAGAAATACTTTTAGTTCTCTGAAGACCTTTTGGATATACATGATACACTGTTGTACAACTTTAATTTTGTCAAGCTGTTCATTAAAAGAGACAAAAAGGGGCAACTGTACTTAAAACTATGCTGAGTGATTCCAAATCCTCTGATCAAATCATTACTTAAACTATGATTCTAACAGTCCACTTACCATGAAAATCTGCACCCAACTTCTTAGAAGCCATTTAGAACCTGAAAAACAAGGAAATATTTCTTAGGCACATTATACCTTGAAGGTAGTACGAAGAAAATTGAGAGTACAAAAAAGAAACCAGAAGACCTAAGGTTTCAAGGCTGACAGAATCCTCACTTCTCACTCCTAAAGTCCAAAAAAAGATCCAGGCACTGTAGCTCATGCCTGTAATCCCAGTGCTTTGGGGGGCACAGGTGGGAGGATCACTTCAGCCCAGAAATTTGAGACCAGCAACATAGTGAGATCTCATAGGGAGACTGAGGTTGCAGTGAGCCACTGCACTACAGCCTGGGCAACAGAGTAAGACCCTGTCTCACACAAAAAAAAATAATTAATGAAAATCAAAAATTTGCTAGGCGTGGTGGCGCATGCCTATAGTCCTAGCTACTTGGGAGGCTGACGTGAGATGATCACTTAAGCTTAGGATTTGAGGCTGCAGTGAGCAAAGAAGGTGCCACTGAACTGCAGCCTGTGCAACAGCACAAGACCCTGTGAAGGGAAGCGGAAGGGGAAGGGACAGGGCAGGGCAGGGCAGGACAAGACAAGACTCAATGTTCATAGGGCCTTTTTTTTTAGATTAGGGACGCTGAACCAATGAGTATGACGCAAAAAGTTACAAAATCTGAAATCTGAATCACTTCTGGTGCCAAGCATTTAGATAAGGGATACTCAACCTGTATATAAAAAAGATTTATAATGGTTGCCTCTAGGTAATAGGACTGGGAATAATTCATAAAATATTTGTATTTCTGAACATTATATGGTAACATCTATTAATTTGGTAGTTACTTTTAAACTTTTCTTGAAAAGTTTGTTTTCAGCCAGGCGTGGTGACTTACACATGTAATCCCGCATTTTGGGAGGCTGAGGCAGGTGGATTACTTGAGCCCAGGAGTTCCAAGACCAGCCTGGGCAACATAGTGAAACCTCACCTCTACAAAGATACAAAAAACTCGCTGGTGTGGTGTTGCACGCCTGTAGTCCCTGCTACTCGAGAGGCTGAGGTAGGAGAATCACCTGAGCCCAGGAAGTCAAGGCTGCAGTGACCAGTGATTGTACCACTGCACTCCAGCCTAGGCAACAGAGTGAGACCGTTTCAAAAAAAAAAAAGTTTTCATTTTTCAGCATGGTGTACAGACAGAGTGTATTCTGTTTGATATTGTAGTTCATGGAGAATTAAATTTATAAAGTGTATGTATTATCAAATTTCAAAGAACCTGCAAACCATACTGAAAATGATTTAACCTTTTTATATGTGCAGAAAGCATTTCCTAGACATCTCCCTGTTGTTCAGGCTGGAGTGCAGTGCTGCAATCTTTATTGCAACCTCTGCCTCCTGAGTTCAAACAATTCTCATGCCTCAGCTTCCCCGAGTAGCTGGGATTACGGAAGTGTGCTATCACACCCAGCTACTTATTTTGTAATGTTATTAGAAACAGAGTTTTGCCATGTTGGACAAGCTGGTCTTGAACTCCTGGGCTCAAGTGATCCACCCACCCCAGCCTGCCAAAGTGCTGTGATTACAGGCATGAGCCACTGCACCCCATCTCAGAGTGAGACTTCTAAAACCCAGAGGCAAGATTCTTAGCAGCCTCAACCTTCCCACATAGGCACATACCAGAAATCTGTTTTCCTAAATTGGGAAAGCAGCGGTATCTAAACTCCTAGCAATGAGAGTTGTGAATATGCTCACAGACATATGCAGAAAATTAGTGTTTCATTTCCATAACCCCAATAAAAATTGTGTGATATCAGCTGTTTGACAAAGCAACTGTTGTTGAGGTAAAGAACTTGAGAGAGGTTGTTTGAGTCTTTAATAAACAATTTTCCAAACAATACCTATAATATGTTGACATCAGGAATGTTATAAAGAAGTTTCACCAAAAATTAAATGGATGTGCTTGGCTTTTTTTTTTTTTTTTTTTTGAGATGGAGTCTCGCTCTGTCACCAGCCTGGAGTGCAGTGGCGCAATCTCGGCTCACTGCAACCACCGCCTCCCGGGTTCAAGCGATTCTCCTGCCTCAGTCTCCGGAGTAGCTGGGACTACAGGCACACGCCACCCTGCCCAGCTAATTTTTGTATTTTCAGTAGAGATGGGGTTTCACCATGGTTGGCCAGGATGATCTCGATCTCTTGACCTTGTGATCCACCCACCTTGGCTTCCCAAACGCTGGGATTACAGACATGAGCTACTGCGCCCAGCCAAATGCTTGGCTTTTTAAAAAGGCTCAACTGGGCCGGGCGCGGAGGCTCATGCTTGTAATCCCAGCTCTTTGGGAGGCTGAGGCGGGCAGATCACAAGGTCAGGAGATCAAGACCATCCTGGCTAACATGGTGAAACCCCATCTCTACTAAAAATACAAAACATTAGCCTGGCATGATGGCACGCGCCTGTAGTCCCAGCTACTCAGGAGGCTGAGGCAGGAGAACAGCGTGAACCTGGGAGGCGGAGCTCGCAGTGAGCCAAGATTGCGCACTGCACTCCAGCCTGGGCAACAGAGCAAGACTCAAAAAAAAAGGCTCAACTGTTCACGATAAAAAAAAAAAAGAAGGAAATTCAGCATGAGAATCACTTGAGGCTGGGAGACGGAGGTTGCAGTGAGCCGAGACGGTGCCACTGCACTCCAGCCTGGGCAACTCAGCAAGACTGCCTCAAAAAAAAAAAAAAAAAGAACGAAATCCTGTCATTTATGACAATGTGAATGAACCTGCAGGACTTTGTGTTAACTGAAACAAGCCAGACATAGAAAGACAAATTTTGTATGATCTTACTCACACAGAATCTAAAAAAGTTTCTCACATAAAAGCAGAGGCTTATATGCCTCATAGTTGCACCAGGCCTGGCATCAACAAGCAGAGTGACAAGTTCACAGACCTGTAGGTGCCTCAGGAATTCTCTGTCAGCAACCACATCATCGGTCTAAGGACCACGTATCAATCCACATGACTGTGGCTGAAGATGACAAGGTCACTGGCAGATGGCAAATTTAAAACCTATACTTCTTAAGTGAATTAACGCAGGAACAAATACTGCATGTTCTCATTTGTAAGTGGGAGCTAAACAACACATGTGGTAATAAAGATGGCAACAACAGAAACTGGCGACTACTAGAGCAGGGAAGGAGAGAGGGGGACAAGGGTTGAAAAACTATTGGGTACTACGTTCAGTACCTGGGTGACGGGATCATTTGTTCCAAACCTAAGCATCACACAATATACTCAGGTAACAAACTGCACATGTGCCCCCTGAATCTAAAATAAAAGTTGAAAAAAAAACAATTAAAACAACAACAACCACCAGCCAGGCACGGTGGCTCACGGCTGTAATCTCAGCACTTTGAGAAGCCGAAGAAGGCAGATCACCTGAGGTCAGAAATTCGAGATCAGCCTGGTCAATATGGTGAAACTCAGTAACTACAAAAATACAAAAATTAGCAGGGCATGGTGGCACATGCCCGTAGTCCCAACTACTCGGGAGGCTGAGGCAGGAGAATCACTTGAGCCCAGGAGGCAGAGGCTGCAGTAAGCCGAGATCACGCCACTGCACTACAGCTTGGGCAACAGACAGAGATTCTGTCTCGAAACAGTAACAACGACAACGTATGCTATCTGTCTAGGGACATTCACAGGATGGTAAATCAGATGACTCCATTCTTTGACTGACCAAGGCTGATGGCATCCTCTCAACGAACTTCTGACTCCAGAGAATTACAAATGTGAAATATTTGTCATAAATAAATAGCAAACACCCCTCCCAAAAAAGTAGAGAGTATAATAGTGATAACCGGAGGCTGGGGAGGTGGGGAGGGTAGTAAAGGGGAGCACAGGGAGTGAGGTGGGGAGAAGTTGATGAATGATTAAAGTCACCATCAGACAGGAAGAATAAGTTCTGGTGTTCTATTGTACAGTAAGGTGACGACAGTTAACAATAATATATTCTGTATTTCAAAATTAACTAGAGCTCAGGAGTTTGAGACCAGTCTGGGTAACACAGCAAAACCCTGTCTCTACTAAACATACAAAAATTAGCCGAGCATAGTGATATGCACCTGTGGTCCCAGCTACTTGGGAGGCTGAGGTGGGAGGATGGCTTGAGCCCAGCAGGCAAAGGTTGCAGTAAGCCATGATTAAGCCACTGCACTGCAGCTTGGGCAAGACAGCCAGTCTTAAATTAAAAAAAAAAAAAAAAAATTAGTATGGCGTGGTGGTGCATGCCTGTAGCCCCAGCTAATCAGGTTCACTTGGGTCCAGGTGGTCAAGGCTGCAGTGAGCTATGATCACACCACTGCACTGCAGCCTGGGCAACAGAGTGAGACCCCAGTTCTAAAAAAAATTAAAAATAAAAAAAAAAAGATACAAAAGTTCACAAATATTGTGTGATGCCATTCACACGAGGTGTCCAGAAAGGGAAAATCCACAGAGACTGAAAGCAGACTGGCAGTTGCCAGGGTCTGGTAAAGAGAAACTGTGTAATTGGTAAGGGTCTCCTTTGGAGAGATGGAAAGGCTTCAGAACTAGATGTGGTGATTGCACAACACTATGAGAGTACTAAATGCCACTAAATTGATCATTTTAAAATGGTTAATTTCATGCTATGTGAATTTCACCTCAGTAAATTGTTTTTAAAATTAAATTGCAAGAAAAAAATGGCTGAAAAAAATTGGCAGCAGAGAGGTGCTCCAGAGGAAAGGGCCAGAAAGATGGGTGTCAACAACTTCTGAATTTGAAAATCAGAGAGGCAATGAGGCAGTGAACAACTAGATAGAAGACCACAAGGAATAGTAAGTGAAAAATAAAATACAGTTCTCTTTATTAGTAAATAATGTAAAATTTTTTAAATCATGCCTCAATAGAGCTGATAAAACAGATTTTTTCCAATATTATATATATTATTATATTTTCCACAGTCCTTAAGAATATGAGAAATCTGTATTTGGGCACATAAAGATTTTTCTAAGGTCCACGATGCAGCAAAACTTCAGTCTCTCAAAGCTCAAA